GTTAGCTTGTATCAATCAGAAAAACAGCTCTAGGTGGCTTACATATTAGTGTTATAATGAACACAATAACAAAATTAAACAATCCATCTTATCGTGCATAGAGTGAAGAACAGAAGACAATAACAATTATAAAACATACATTCAAACAAACGAACAAAAGAATTGAATCACAAACTACCCTGCTCCAAGGTCTGATGGAAGGAACTAGGTCTTTAAAGATTTGCAAAAAGCACAACAGAGTTGGAATCATACAAATTCCTGGGAGAATGTTGTTTCTTGGTTATGCCAGTCACTCCTCTTGTAGTGTTCCTAATACTGCTTGCTCTGCATTGCCTTCTCTAAATCAGCAGTTAAGGAAGAAATAACCTTTGTTGAATATTGTGCTTTTATACCTTGTAATTTTAAATAAACCCGATATACTGTCTGAACCAGATTAAAATAAAAATAGCACAATTCAGTTATTCTGCAGGCATCAAATGAGCAGTGTGATCTAATTTAGGAGCAGCTGCTCAATGCATTTGATTTTTATTTATATTAATTGATGGATTTGGTAGTTTTAGTGACTGAAAGTGATGGGATCAAGAGTGTGAACTCCTAAGGATAATCTTTTCCAGCTAGATAAAAAAGGGAGAAATAAAGCTAAAGTAATCCTTAATGAGTATAAGAGAAGTTGGAGACATTTAATCAGTGGTGGGATTTAGCCAGTTCGCACCAGTTCGGAGAACTGGTAGCTAATTTTTTTGTTGTCCAGGTCCAGAATGGACCTCCGGAAGCAGATCCACATCCCACCATTGGTTTAAGTAATACCATTCATTATCACTTGCAGTTTTTCCAGACTGGATTGTGACCCCAGCATGTGAACTCATAAGAAACACAGATTTTTATACCCTAAAAATGTCGGGGATCCTCATTCATCCTGCATTTGATGGCTAGTTTAATGAACATGCAATCAAATCTTAGATTGTTAAATGTGTCTAATTTTTCACATCAGACCAGTAGTGGAGAGGGTATGGAAATGGAAGTATTATAACAATAGTACTGTATGTGATTCTCTGATGACCCTAACTCATAAAAAATCAATTCAAGACATTCTAATGGAAGGCTTTGTACTTCTTTCCATCTCTCCACACTGACATATTCTGTAATTGCAGTGAACATTTTTCATTGCCTTTGATTTCACAATTTCCCTAAAAGCCTCCCCTCTGTCCTTTCTTTTAATTGTTTCTTGTCTTTCATATTTCTCACGAGGCTGCCTCACTTTACCTCGGTGGTCAAATGGCTTTGTACGCATCTCTCCAAGGACATTCCTGTTTGGAAGGTTTTTTATTTTTATTTTTTAAAGCTTCAACTTGAAAGACACATCCCAAGATTCTTAGCGTGCTTTACAAGTAGTTATTGTGTTTGCAGTTCGTGAAATCATCTTTTATTCTCTTGTATAATGTTAATGTATCTTGGGTGTTGATAGTGAGAATGTCAATAGTAAGCGTAGGATGAAAATTAAAAAGATCACATCCTTAAAATAAAATAGATCTTATGTAAATATGTTTACTTTTTCATTCCTTTTCCTAATTAATTCTACTGCAATGCAGTGGAATGGGATCTTATATGATCGCTCATAATGCTGAAATACGCATTTTTCCCATTTTGTTGTTGCAACCCACTGCTTATTCACAGTGCACTAACCATTATAAATCCTTTGGAACCTTTATCGTACTTTATCTACATCACACTTGTATCTCTTAAGTCCATCCTGTCAGGTTATTTAACATCCAATCATTTACATCTGTAACCAGTGTAATGACAACCTATTATTCATAATCAGGTTGGATATCGGGAACCCATATTTCTTCCAGTTTGGCCCTTGCAGTTCAGAAAAAGCAGGTCAAAGTAGGCTGAAGTTTAAGCGGAGCAAGATGATGATATTGTTTGATTTTAAGACTATTATCGTTCAGATGTTAACTCTGAACAGGGACATCTACCTTTGAGGCTCATCCCAGCTACTGCAGAATGAACAGATGTAGGATATGGTCAAGGGAACTTTTGTCCAACTTTGGGACAACAGTTGCAAGTTGAATTGTGAAAATCTGACAATGGAAATTTTGAGTTTTGGTGGCACAGTGGTTAGAATACAGTATTGCATCCTAACTTTGCCTACTGCCAGCAGTTTGATTTTCACCGGCTTAAGGTTAACTAAGCCTTCCATCCTTCCAAGGTCAATAAAGTGAGGACGCAGATTGTTGGGGGGCTATATGCTGACTCTGTAAACAGCATAGAGAGGGCTGTAAAGCACTGTGAAGTGGTATATAAGTCTAAGTGCTATTGCTAGTGCTATTTATCCCTATTACCATGTAAGTAAGATTCTCTAGGTAGGTCTGTCTGTCTCTATCTCTATCTACAACTGTAAGCTGTATCAGCACACTTATCGGTAGGTGAGGACCTCCATTGCCAGGTAACACTAGTACTATGAGCCCTACATTGGTTTTCAGTGGGCTTCAGAGAACAATTAAAAGTACTGCATTTAACCAATAAAGTTCTTGGCTTGGCTAATAAGGCTTGGCTCCCAAAAATCTCCAACACTATCTTCTCCAACTGAAATTGAGTTGTCATGGGAGTTGTGCCAGTTGTCATAGGAGAAGAGACTAGATTTTACACTTTTTTGGGGTGTGAGTGAAGGTGTTGCTGAATATACAGTAAAACTTTTTCAGTGACAGCAAATCTTATAAAACAACTTCCTTCCTGAATTTAAACTAATATTAAGGCATTCCAAAAATTGATTAAGATAAAGTTATTTGGGAGAATGCATAAAGATTCATCAGATGGACACCATATCTAATTTGTTAGTAATCAGTTATTGAGTTTTTAGATAGATAGATAGATAGATAGATGGATGGATGGATGGATGGATGGATGGATGGATGGATGGATAGATAGATAGATAGATAGATAGATAGATAGATAGATAGATAGATAGATAGATAGATAGATAGATAGATAGATAGATAGATAGATAGATAGATAATCACATTAAGTACTGGGAAGGCTTGGTGGTTATGGGAGTATACAAAAATAAGTGGAGTAAGGAAATAAATAAATGAATATGAATTCTTTTATTGTCTTGTTTTTTCCTTCCTTCCTTCCTTCCTTCCTTCCTTCCTTCCTTCCTTCCTTCCTTCCTTCCTTCCTTCCTTCCTTCCTTCCTTCCTTCCTTCCTCACTAATTCAGTGCCCTAAATATTGCATCATTTTGTCTATAAATCCATTTTCTTAAATATGCTTCCGTATGATTTTAATATAAACCAAGCCTTCTTTCTTACCGATTGTCTTGCAACAGTGTTGAATTGGGTGGCTATGGAAATTGAATAAATAAATAAAATAAATAATATGGTTGGTTGTTTTCCTTAAAGCTCTAAAAAATAAGCACATCCATGCGTTTAAACTAAATTATGATTCATGACAAGCTTGTAGATAGATTCTTCGTTTAAACCTAGCAGAAAACATATTTCTTTAAGCTACCAAAATGCATTTAATATATGCTATCATGCCATAACTACATATGGCTTATTAGATTAGGATTCATAATGCGAACACCTTTCAGCAGAACTAGAAGGTCAAGGAATTATTCAACTATCAAAATATAGAATATACAATTACCAACATGGTATGATCTAACATTTTGCTGATTTAGAATTTATTACAATTCAGTTCAATGCTCCATGGGGAATTTAATCTTCATTTACCATGCAAGGTTTACAGAATTCAGGCTTTCCATATTAATCTTACTGCATGAGTTTAATATTTAATACTACTAGTAACTAAAAAATTATGTTCTTGAACACAGTCTCTTCCATCTGCAGATGATTGCCATGGTACTGATTGAATAAAATTGGATAAAATTGCATTATATTCAACATAAATGATTGAAATGATAAAGTGTAGACTTTCCCTTGAATCTGAATAGAAATTAAGCATATTTTGGAAGCAAAATCTGACTGTCTTGAGCAACTTCTTAAATTTCATCATTCAGAAGAAAACAAAAATGAGGCACAAACATTTAAACTTACTTGATTTTTTTCAATTTGTTGTCAGACTGTTCTTATCCAATATAACTGCACAGTAGATTTGTTAAGAAAAGAGTGCCTTGGAAGCGTATAACAGAAGAGGTACCACAAGAAAAGGGCATTCTTGTCTATAGTGTATAAGTAGTTTTTGGATAGCGTGTAGTGTATGGCGTTGTATAGTGTTGTATAGTATAATAGATCGGAATGTTGAATAGTGGGAAACTATTTCTGCAAATATGAGAAATGTACTTAAGACATAGCTAGGTGGCTGCCGTGCCTCCAAATTGAAAGTAAAATCACATTTCACTGCTCAAATAATAAAGGTTGACGGGAGATTAATCAAAATGAAAAGAAGCCTGATTGTAACCATTAGAAAAACTTTTACCTACTGGGGTGCAGCTCTTTTAATAGTTGCTTTATAATTAGTAAATGAACCCCCTGACACATTTTCACATGAAGTGCATCCCAGTGCATGATTTCTTGTCTGAAGAAAGTTAGCTTCATCAGTAAGATGACTCATATTTATGACGGTTGCAGTGTCCCGGGATCATCTGATTACCTTTGGCATCCTTCTGACAAGCAAAGTCAATGGGGAAGCCAGAGTCACTTAACAACCATGTTACTAACTTAACTGCAGTGATTCACTTAGTGGCAAGAAATGTCATAAAATGGGACAAAACTCAATAAATGTCTCACTTAGCAATATAAATTTTGGGTTCAATCATGGTCATAAGTCAAGGACTACCTGTACTTTGTTCAATAAATCTGTGAGGTTTCTAAATTTAGTTAATATTATGGTACCGTTCACCCTTTGCTGTCTCTATTCTGTCACCTTGGTAGTCTTGTCAGTTTTCTTGGCTTATTTGTTTGTTTCACCAGTAACTCTGATCATACAATATTTCCCTTCCTCCCAATGTGGATTTACCTTAAATATGCTTTTAGCATGATTAGTGAACTATGTAAACATGCTATTCTGCCACTGAGAGATCATATTTCCTCTGAAGGTAATAGTAAATAATCTATTATATCATATGTCATTACCTCATCCAATCTTTCTTACTCAGTTGTTCATATCCTGACATGAGAAAGGATTGATTGAAAATAATATTTTTGAAGGTGTTCTGAAAGGCTATGAAAATGCTTCCTGTGAAGTTCGATCTTCAGTAATACTTTCATGACAAAAACTGTTTTTATAGTCGTGATTAACATAATGCATATGGATATGCAAACTCTGGTCAACAAGAATTTAAATATACAAGGTTTGATGATAGGTAGTAAGTTAAATAAATATTGACTTGGGCTAGTTGAGTTAACATTCTGGCTGGAATAACATTATAACTTTCTATCATTATAACTTATTTATTTATTTATCAAAATGTATATGATCACCTAACTCACACACATTGATTCAGTATCATAATATATCTAGTATCCAAACAGAGCAGGATATATGCATAACCATTTCCAGATGCACAGATAATCCTAGTTATAGTCCTCACAGTACATAAGAAGCTATTTCTCAAGACTAGGAATCTAACGCTGAGAGATTCAAAGGAAGATTCAAAATCCCTGTACAGCACTCAATATTCTAGCCATTTTTTTTAATCTAGTTGAAACATCTCTTCCTTGGTTATGAAGAAATAATAGATCCCATACACTAATTTATTTATTTGCTTGTTTATTTGCTTATATATTTTTTAAAATAACTCAATGAGATGAACATCCAACATACCATATTGAGTCATTTATTATTATTATCTCCTATTTTTCCCACAACTATCACCTTGTGCGATGAGTTGGTCTGAGAGAGAGTGACTGGCCCAAAGTCAGTGGATTTCTGCGAACAAATCATT